TGATAACCTCCCAAACGCATCGTCACATAATGCTTCTCTAATAGAATATATGGTATTGACAGCTCTTTGAACAAAAGGATCTGCAATCAACTCATTATGAGTATATCACTCAATATTCACATCTCTGCTTTTACCTTCTCCACCTGCGTTTTTCCTTGACTCATTTTCAATAATTCGACCAACTATAACAAAAAATATCGTCCACTCAATGTTTTTCACCGATAACCAAATTGCAAAAATCCGACCACAATTTGAAAAGTAATCGACAAAAGTGGTGGCGAGGCGATATGAAATCATAAGTTCCAAAAAAGAAAAGAAAAGCGAACAAAGAAACCTACTCGATCTTCGAGTCTTAATTTGGAGTACGGGTGAATTGAATTGATGAATTCAGCAATGAAACCAATCTCGATTCGAAAGAACGTATCGCAGTGTTCAGCAATTGCTGACGGGCGGAGTGGCTAGCAAATGAGATTTTTATTCCTTTGAGTTTACAGAATTCGTAATAACTAAACAGTGAAAATATCTGATCAAATAGTAGAGTTTGTCACTGATACTTCTTTTTTCGCAGCTATCGAATGAACATCTCATCAATAAGGCAAACTTCGAGTGTCTGTTTGTGGCCACTGGCCCAACTCTATCGAACATGTCGGCAATCAGAAGGAGTAAATTATAAACCGAATATGACAAACTAACCGGCTCAGTCCCTCCCAGAATATCTCTCAAAGTGCCCGGACAATACACAAGACGTCTGCGTTCCCTGAGTTTCGCGTATGTTTGAACCAAATATTCAATTTGATTTGGCCATCGATCATGACCGCTTCTGGTCAGTGGGTAATCTGCAACCACATCGCAGGATTATCCGTCGAAAAAAGAAATGAGCAAACCAAAAACAACAAAATATCAAATAGCACTAAAAGCACATGAAAAAGAATGGGACATGCATACCTCTCGGTATTGAATCAGAATGATGTTGCCATTGTTTGCCATCGACATCTTCATAGTACCAACTCGACGAAGTGGATGGCCCACTGCTATCTCCAAATAATTTACAACAAGTTCATTTATACAGCTCTTCAATGATGATTTTGTGATCAATCGCATATTTTTATATTGCTGTGAATGAATTCAACCAAACAATAAAGCAACTTCATTCGAATGAAGTATCGCAAAAAG